AGGAAGCAGGAGTGTCTTTCCTTCTATGGTCATCCTACATTCAGAGCCTGCCAATCATCCGCCTCCTCTCCCTGTTGGAACCCCCCCCCCTAATTGTTGCTGGCTTGCCATTCACTAGGTCCCACATTGGCCTGGCATTGAGCAAACAAGGCACAGTGGCTAAAGTGGGCTCTAGGGTCAAAAACCTGATGTGACTCTCAGCAGCAGCATTCACTGGCCATGGCACCCCCATGTTTTTAGCCCCAGTCTTCTCATCTACAGGAAAGCAGATTCCTTCATCTGGGGAGGAGACTATAAGCCTTTAAATCTTATTTTACTTTAAATAACTGTTTTTATACAGCTCAAATTATATGCCTTTATTCACATAACCATTTTGTTATTTTAGAGGTGGAATTAAGATAATGTGTTGGATTGCGATTTTGAACATTGATTAAAAATGTAACACATTGCATGAGGAGTTTTATAACAATGATTTAGTTCTCCCATAGAAGCAGCATTTCCATCAATTGGAAATGAGTGCAGTAGAAGCTTGAGGAACCTAAAGTCAATCTGGCTGTATTTCACATATGTGACCTTGTCCCTTTCCACACAGAGCTTAAAATCTAGTTGCACAGTTAGGATGAATATCTGCAAGGTAAATAAAAATTCCAGGTAGTATGTGCTCAGAGCCAAATGAGTGTGTGGTCATTTTACAACTCTTTGTTGAGTGCCTGCTCTGTGCCAGGCACTGCTGAGCCAAACAAGGAAGGTTCAGTAGAGAATAAGACACAGTCCTGGCAAAGAGGAGAGCAAATGTGGATTGCAGGTCACCGAAAGCCGAGGGCCTGAGCTCCAATGTTCAGAGGAGACCGTGTTCTCTCCACAGACATGTAGTGAGCACCCATAATGTGCTGGGGAACTATATTATAACTCTTTTTTTCCTTCTCTCGGAGTTGATTAGAAGGGTGGCAGACACGGAGAGCCACCAGCTTCAAGAGACAGTAAGTCCTCACTTAACATCGTCAGTTAGCTCGTGGAAACTGTGACTGTAAACCAGATGAGATAGCAATGCAACCAGTTTTACCATAAGCTTATTGGTATAAACAAGAGTTATGTTCCAGATATAATGTTAAATAGATGCATTATTTTCTGATTTTACCCGCAATAGTCTATTACTCATATCAAAAGACTAAATATTTCTATATTGCTACAAAAGTAAAGAAACCAAATAATTTTCCTAGATTTATCACTATGCCAGGATAAGTCTAGATTTGGAATAATAGTGGTGAATGGAGGATTTCTAGACTTGATAACAATGCAAGAGGATTCTAGAAATTCATACATGAGAACAATATGGCATATTTCTGGTCACAAAAGCACCACCAAACTTCTAAAGAAAGGCCCAAAACATTTCTAATATTAATCATTGAAATACATGGGACGCTGTACACACATTTAAGAAAGATCAATAGGAACCAGTAAGATAATTGTTTACCCAATTTTGGGTGAAATGGTGAGTGACAGCAATTGTGGTGGTGGTGGGTTTAATTAACGAATAAGTGTTTGCAAATTGAAAATCGTCAGGAACACCTCCTACCATGAGACAGTTCAAAAACAAACAGTAACATTATCCGGGCATGGTGGCGCATGCCTGTAGTCCCAGCTACTCGGGAGGCTGAGGCAGGAGGATTGCTGGAGCCCAGGAGTTTGAGGTTGCTGTGTGCTAGGCTGACGCCATTGCGCTCTAGCCCTGGTGACAGAATGAGACCCTGTCTCAAACAAACAAAAAATCAGTAACAAATGACAGGCTAACTGGGAGCTCTTGGACCACATCGTTTATTGTCATGCATTTGTATGACTGTCGCATACTTTACGAATTTTTATTTTACAATTATTTATATTCATTCCTTCATTGGTTGTCCAAACTGCTTATTCCAGTTGAAAGTCACAGTTCTGGGAGCCCGTCCTGGCAGCCCAGGGTACAAGGTGGGAAACCCCCCAAGGCCAGGATGCCCTCCTATCAAGGGGTGCATTCACACACACACACACACCAGGGCTCACCCAGACTGGGATAGTGTAGACACACAAGTTCACCTAATGGGCACATCTTCAGGATGTGGGAGGAAATCGAACTTCCAGGAGAAAAATCACAAAGACATGGGGAGAATGTGCACACTCCACATGGACAGTGGCCCAGGGCCAGACATCAATTTTTTTTTTCCATCAACATTATAATGAAATGACATTGAACGAAACATTATCCGAGGACCTGCCTGAAACATTGCTAGTTCTTTCTCGAGCCTTGTACAACCTGATGTAAAAAATAAAGCAACAGATGAGTTTTCTTCATTATATCTGACAAAGGAAGAAACAGGCTTAGCACGAAGTTTGGATGGGGTAAAGAAACTGGCTTAGGCATTTCATACTCATTTTACATGAGAAAACTGTCATTCCTCATTTCTGGATAATTTGTATCCTATTGTGTGCCCATATTTTCCATAGTCAAAAGTTGTGAAATTAGGTATTCTTGGGCTCCAAAGGCCTTACAAACTGATGGTAGGAGTGGGCATGACAAATGGGTGAAACATTAAGCTTCACAGTGTCATAATAGCAGTTCAAATGATAAAAATTGCCCATGGGCAGTACTAATTGTGATGTGGGTAAGTCAGGCAATTAAGGCTGATTTGAATAAAGGTAATGGTCTTTCCATTATATTTTTCATAGAATTCTTGATAGAGGAAGGGAGATATGAACTGGAACTAAAGAGTTTATATAGTGTAAATCAGGTGTCCTCAAATTACGGCCCACGGGCCACATGCGGCCCTCCAAGGACATTTATTTATTTATTTATTTTTTGATTAGGATTATCTTTTTTTTTTATTTTGGCATATTATGGGGGTACAGATTTTAAGGTTTCAATAAATGCCCATTTCCCCCCCTCCCCCCAAAAGTCTGAGTCTCCATCATGACCATCCCCCAGATGGTGCACATCTCACTCATTATGTATGTATATACCTGCCCCCTCCCCCCTCCGACCTGCCCAATACCCTATTACTGTAGCACCTATGTGTCCACTTAGGTGCTACTCAGTTAATACCAGTTTGCTGGAGAATATATCTGGTGCTTGTTTTTCCATTCTTGGGATACTTCACTTAGTAGTATGGATTCCAGCTCTAACCAGGAAAATATAAGATGTGCTATATCACCATTGTTTCTTAGAGCTGAATCCAGCCCCCCGGGTGTTTTTGCTGCCGCTGCCTGTCCTGCTTAGCAGTTGACTCATCCCAGGCCCACAGTGCGCATGTGTGGAATGTGCACCGCACTCTCCAACGGCCCTCCAATGGCCTGTGGGACAGTGAACTGGCCCCCTGTTTAAAAAATTTGAGGACCCCTGGTGTAAATAAACAGAAAAGACTGCCCTTGCCTTATTGAGACACATATGTAGCCAGATATCCCATAACAATGCTTCAGTCAATGACAAGCCACATATATGATGGTGATCCCATAAGATTATAAAGAAGCAAAAAAATTTCTGTTGCTTAGTGAATGTTGTAGCTATTGTAATGTTGTAACACAATGTATTACCTTTTCTATGTTTAGATACACAAATACTTAACCATTGTGTTACAATTGCCTACAGTATTCAGTATAGTAACACACTGTACGGGTTGCCTAGGAGCAACAGGCTATACTATATAACCTAGGTATGCAGTAGGCTACATCATTTTAGGTTTATGTAAGTATACTCTGTGATGTTTGCCTACTGCAATTGTCGGTTTTATGGAGTTGTTGCAAAGAAAAAAAATGAGCTAGTACATAAGAAATATACACAAGGGTTCCTAGCATGTAGTAGCCACTCTAAATGTTTGTTAAGAATAACATTGTTATTATTAATCAAGACATACCTTTAATGACCAGATATAATGTTAAATAGATGCATTATTTTCTGATTTTACTTACAATAGTCTATAACTCATATCAAAAGACTAAATATTTCTGTATTTCTACAAAAGTAAGGAAACCAAAAATTTTTCTAGATTTATCACTATGCCAGGATAAGTCTAGATTTCGAATAATAGTGGTGAATGGAGGATTTCTAGACTTGATAACAATGCAAGAGGATTCTAGAAATTCATACATGAGAGCAAGATATTATTCTCCACTCCTTACAGCATCAAATAAGCACACCAAATGTTTAAAAAGAAACATCTTCACTTCAAAGGATACTGCCTGAGCTAAGTTTAATTGATAAACTAATATCCAGTGCAATTGGCTGTGATAAACTGAGGCTTAAATAATTTGAAAACACTTTAGGAGCAGACAAATCAGATAATCACTATCTTTATGGCTGGAAAGGTTTAGCTGGTGTTGACAAGTTGTAAAGATAAAAGCTTATTGCACAGTTAAGAGCTAAATGTCTAGATTGGGTTCAGGATCAGTGTTAATACTCAAAGTGTAAAAAGCACCAAACTTCACATGATCTTTCACAGTGTTCTGTTTTGCTTAACTTTTCAAGATAATAGCTTAGGACTTTATTTACTGAAAAATTTTCGCTTGTCATTAGGTGAATACTTTCCTGTGTTCTCTGCCACCTACCCCGCTGCTTAAATGTCATAGGTGTTGTGTGATTCGTGCTCTGTGTTGCAATAAAAGGGTTTCAGCTGCTGCTTTTCAAACATTTCCAGTTAGGTGACTATTAATAGTTTATGAGAGACTAGAGTCAGACCTTACCATTGCTAACGTACTTTTTTCTCTCTGAAGCCAAGGTAGAATTTGCCTTATGGCCTCACTCTGATCTCAGCAAGAGCAGTTTCAAAAGAAGCTCTTTGTTTTTTCAAAGGCTGCTTGCAGTTGGTTCAGTGCTCTGCTATCATGGAACCCTAAAGCCAGTGGAAAATTATGCGGGGATTGGGTGGTGTGACGGATTTGCTGCATTTAGCTCCAATCAGTGTACTAACGGTGCCTCCAGGTGACTCCTGCAACATCTCCAACCTCTGTTTGCTTTTCTCTTTCGTCTACAGGAGCAGAAGGCACAGTGTTCCCTAAATCCATAGAAACACCTAATGTCAGGGCAGACCCCTTCAAGGAACTAAGGTAAACTTCTCACTTTGGTTTGCATTGCTTAGTGCCTATTGCCTTTCTCTGTGCACCTGGCCAGTGATTATGCGTTTTGATAACAGCGTCACAACATGAATACATAAACTGGGAGAGTTGGGAGAAGGCCAGAAGATAAGTGACAACCAAAGGAAAATCTTTTTCTGAGAACTTAAAAAAAAATGGCGAGTCTGGGATAAGAGGTTGCCAGCTTTGTGACTGTGACATTTACAGTCATTCGTTTGCATTGTTTGTTTCCTGTTGTATTTTGTGGTAACAAAAAGCTATCCAGTTACAGAACTAGCTGATAATGTGTGCTGATGAGCCCAAAGAAAAGTGATACCTAAAAGATGCTGAAGACTAAATACAATACAGATGTTTTCCTATGTAACAAGTATTTCGTTACTTAAGGTGGTATGGTGCTAGAACTTTCTTCTGTGGGCATTCCATACATTGGCTTTAATCCTTAAATAGTTATAAGTGTGCTGTGTTAGCAGAGGATGTCTCTGCGATGCTGTGTACTTACCACTGACAATTAGGGGAAGCAACAAAGAACAACAGATAGATAACTAGACAGGCAGACAGACAGACAGACAGACGTAGAGATATGGCCTGAAAACCAGTCTAACCACCAATGGCCATCACCCAACTACAAGATGGAAAACCTAAAAAATGGTGTGTTGATACACATATAACTACTATTTCTATTGCATAAGTATAACTTTGAAGAATTTTGTGAATACTGGCTTGCTTTCTTTCTGGTAGTTCTTTTTACCTAAAACCAATCATAAGCCACCTAATGATCATAAATGGCATTGAATAACTGTTTCATAGGAGACATCAAAAATAGGCAACTGTATTTGCATTATGCAAGTCATGTCTACTCTTTCATGATGCTGTCTCAAGATGTATGCTTTGCTAAGACAGCAAGAGCCATGTTGGAGTTTGTATTTTCCTTAACAGACACATTGTCAGTAAGTGGAAAACATATCACCTCATTACAAAACGATAGCATTTTTTTTAAAAAAAGCCCATAAGTCTTTGTGAATATAGGGAAATAAATTGGGCCAAAAGAAGAGGGTAATTGGTGGAGAATGGGAACCTTTTCATAGCAGAATTCCACATACAGTGGGCTGTATTTTTCAGATTACATATCATAGCACAAGGTTTTACTTTTTACTGCCATCACTGTTTTCGGCATAGCTTCTACATGCCAGAAATTACCTGACTGACTGTCAGCTAGATCCTTTGTTTCGCATAAGGTACTGGAGCTGGAATTTTTAAGCAAATGCATTGGAGGAAACTTGCATTTTAGGACTCTTTGAGAGAGAGCTAATCCCCGGGAGGGCAGTGAACCCTCACGGCTGTGATGGAAGAGCTCTTTCGAGACAAGCTAATGGGTGGCCTGGTTCCCTTTCTTTCTACAGCCTTCTGTAGGAGCAAGTTTCTTACAGAAGTAGTCAGTAATTAGTGCTGATCAGCCTTAAGAAAAGTGCTGTCTAAAAGAATCTGAACTCTAAGTACAATACAGATTTTTTTTTCCCCTAAGGACCAAGCTCTCTGTTACCTGAAAGATTTGGGAAATACAGGAGGAAAAGATTTAAGCTAACATGGCTTCAAGTAGTAAAATAAAGCCTCTGTAGCTAAAAGCAAATCCAACCCAACCCAACCCAACCCAAGCAAATGGAAAGATAGCTCTCTATGGATTGCCCCACATTCATATTCTAAAAAACCATAGAACAGAGCATTGCTCCTATAGTGCTACTGATTAGAGTGCCTGTACACAGCCTGTGAGAAACCTTGAAACTTGCTTTAAAAAATTAAACCAGCAAAATATACAAGAAAATCTCCTCAGTATAGTGCAACAAAAATAAAGATTTGGGGTAGTTTCTTCATTTCTCTTGCTTATTCTAAAAGTTATAAGTATATTCCACAGTTGCTAAAAATAAAATTTTCTTATAGGAAGCATAAACATATTTTCTTACGTGATTCTAAAATTGTTCTTTTCTTTGCCCCTGTTGTTAAAATCACAATAGCCTGGACTAGTGAGTCAGGGACCTAGAATTCATAATTTAGCCTCTTCATCCTTTTGAAATTGTTTTTTAATGGTACTTTGTAGGAAACTTTCTGACCAACTGAAAAGATAACCAGTTGTGGTTGATACATTAGCCCAGAACAGCATGTCTGTGAATGTTTCACATTTGTCATTTAATGGTGTCACATTTTACTCTATGCTATTGATTGGTATTGACCCTGGATGGTGACTAAATAATTAATGAACTTGGTGACTAACTCTTCTGGCCTCTGACTTTAGCATCGGATCTGTCTTACTTGGCCACATTCCCAATGGTGTGTCTTCTAGTCTTCAGAGAAAAGTATAGTAATTTAAGGGAGGTCCCTGGCCTTACATCAGCAGGTGAAGATGAGTGAGCTCTTCAGGTGAAGTGAAGGTGGCCTATCCCTCAGTGGAGGGAATGAGCACTGTGCTGGGAGTCAGGTACCTACTGCAAACCCACCGTAGAGGCCAAGGGAAACTTCCCCTTCACCCTGAAGGGTCTCTGAAAATCAACTGCTGACAGGAAGATTAATAGGAGAAAAGGCATACAAATTGTATTTTAGCATACATAGCACCAAGGAATCGTAGGAAAATGATCACCTTGTAACCCAGTGGGGTATAGATGCTTATATGCCATTCTTTACAGGGGAGGGGAAATTGGGAAAATGTAGCAATTTCAGGGATACCGAATGATTTTTAGGAGAGAATGAATGCACTTGGAGAACATACAATGGCCCAGACAAAGTCTCTTGGGCCTGAAGAACAGGCAACGATTTGTGATAAAAGTCTGTCTAGGTATGTTGCTGGACTTCAGTTTTTCTTTCTGCAATATGAGTTCAGTTAATGAAAACTCAGGGAAGGGACCCGAGTTAATTGTTCTCTTCTTTGGTGAAGGGACTGCAGGCAGATAAGGGGACTTCAGAGAACAGCTTCTTTCTGCTGGTTTCCAAGGACCTTTAATGTAAAATAATCAGCCTACCAAGGGGCCATCGTTTGGGGTATCAGTTTCTGAGCCTACAACATCACTATATGATCTTGTGCTAATTAGGTAACAGGTAAAAAGCCAGGTCATTTCTAGCTCCGAACGCTAATCTGTTTATTTTAACTTTTTATTTTTAAATAATTTTAAAATCTAAAGAAGAGTTGTAAAAATTTATACAGATTATTCCCATATACACTTTACTCAGTTTTCTCCAAAGTGAACACCTTACATATCTGTGGTACAGTTATCACAACTAAGAAATTAATATTATAATCCTATAATATTATACTTTATGTCAAATTTAAAGGGGTGAAATCACCTGAATGTCTTTTACATTAAAAAATATAAAAAGGAGTTTAGCAAAAAAGCTCTTTATTGAGATGTGAATTAATAGATTTTTAAAACTCTCACTGCAGTTAAGTGGGAATGTTTTCAATAAGGATGTTTGTTTTTTCTTTAATGTACTCTACCCGGATTTTCTTGGTCCTACTTGTTATTAATGGGAAACAAATTGAGTCAAAAGACCACAGCTTATTTATGCGAAGACTGTCTTTTAAAATAAGCAAAAACTTAAACATATACATATCCCTCACTTACCCAAACAATCAAATGTCAGAAAATTGCATCTGTTTTAAAAAAGCTTCCCTATTGGAGTAACTGTTGTGTCTTCAAACTTATATCTTGACTGCTAAAGGGTTTTTTTTTCTGTCTTGCTTTTTGTGTGCTCCTTTGTTAATGAAAACCAGATTTGAGGCCTCTGGCATTTCTTTCTGGAAGATACTGGTTAAAGGAGAGATAGCTTCCTCTTTGCTACAGTTTTGGTCCGTTGCCTTTCCTTTCAGAGTTACTGTAGTTACTGTACTTGTAGTTTTTGCTTAACATGTTTGTAAATAAATCCACAGTTGAGCTCACATTCACAGAAAGGATTGCTTCTCTTCAGACAAATAGTGTTACAAAGGCCGATGCCAAGCATCCCATCTCAGGCAATGTTTACTGACTTTACCCTTGCAGGATAATTCTAAAGTAATGACATGTTCTTCTAGATTCCAGCTATCCTTAAAAATATACCAGGGACTGTACCTGTCCCCTTGAAATAAGAAAAACTAACATTGCATTGAAATTGGATTTTAATAAATTCACAATCTTAAAATGTGAATATATTAAATGTTCACTTGTTCACTGTTTTCTTTTTCCTCCCAAAGTCTCTATAAAGAGAAATGGAAAAATCACTGATCTCAGGCTGTTCATGATCTGAAACAGGAAATAGGCTATTCAGGTTTGCATATGTATTTTCTATAAGAACAGAGGCTTCCTTTGAATGCCTACCTTGCTCTAAAGATTCCTTTCAACTGTGAAGTTCCCTGTAGGATTCTGATGTTACAAGAACAGGAAGTAGACTATGAAATCTTATTTCCCAGACACATGCCATGGCAAATGTGAAAAAAGAAAAGTTTATATAGACTACTACCCTTGCTCATATAATGAACTTTGGTTCCTTAAATATTTTCCAAAGCTTGGCAGGAAACCTAAAGGTCTTTATAAAACAGTTCTTCACATCCTCACTCAGCTAACTTGCTGATATGCTCTTACTTTATAGACATTTACAACAAGGATGGTGACCTGATTATCAAGCTCATTGAAGGTCAAGAACTGTCTACCAAGTATTTGTTGGATGCTTGTTATGAGTTAAGACAGGTGATAAACACTTAGAATGCAGAGATAAATAAAACAAGAGCTCAAATAATTTATAGTTAAGGAGAATGCAATAAAAATGTAACCCCAAAATACAACACAATGTGATAGTTGGTTTGGTTCATATCTCCATCCTAGCAAAGAAAACACAGAGAATGACAAAATCTACCTAGAAGAGTTTCTACCCAAAGAAAATGACATTTTGATTGAAGAGAGAAAAAGTAAAAACCAATAAATAGGTCTTAGATTTTGAAAGGAATGGTTCTCTGA